ATTTGGAAACATTGGAGCCCTTGGGAGCAAAGAAATTCGTAAATGTCCATGTTAAGGATCACCCTAATATTAATGGCTAAATTATGAATGGATGGTAAAAGGCAATCAACACCAGGTGTGTCACGTGTTATTTTTAGAAAAATTGACAAATGGATGAATGTGTACTCCTAATTAGTTGTTTTCTATTAAAATACCTTCATATTTGGTTCTTAATTTTTCTGTTTCTTTTTTTTTCAGTGTACTAGGATGGTCGGAATCGACTGGAATCTGGTCGATCGTTGCATGAAGTCCGACGTCGGAAGATTGTTGCAATTGCGCGCCGAAAGAGAGACGAACGCAATCTGGCCGCAGTTCATTCCCACAATCGTTTTCAACGGGGTGAGTGATACATAATGCGAATTTAATTGATGTAATGAAATATCAATCAATCTTCTTTATAAAATAAAATATTTGCATCAAGGGTTTGTTGTGATGGCGATAATTCGGTTTTAATAAGACTAATTGCAGCACATGGGGCACTGTAGAGGGAATGCTTATGGGCAATAGACTGAGTATCTGCTGAGTGTCTGCATTTTTTCATAATTTTTCAACTTTTCTTAAAATTTGGGAATTTAGCACAAATTTCTTGAAATCGTTTAACTTTATTTCAAAATTATGCCTAAGAGAAATATTTACAATATAATGTACATATAAATTGGCTGTGTATAATAGGTGATATGTGTCTGCACATAATTTTTCTATGAATACTCCTTAAAATAAAAAAATTTTGTTCGTGTAAAATTAGAAATTTCAGGACAAATCTAACTGTATGATAGTTATTAATCAATCATAGAATATTTTAATGATCTTCTGCAACAATATTGTAGAGTGAAATTGATTTTGACCTTTTACTTATTAGAAATGTCGCTATAACTGGAGTTCGATAATGAATATCAAAAGGTACTAAACTTTAAAGAAAATTAATATAATTTTGAACAATTTTCAGTATAAAACGTTATATAATCGTCACTAAATTAATAACTATTTAAAATAAACAAGATTCCGTGGAAAAATGGATTTTCTAAGAGCGGTTTGTCGTACTTGAGGTACCAAAAAATAAAATTACATATTAATGTGTTTTAAATTTCTTAAAAATTGTATATAAAATAAAATTCAAATTGATATGTTTAAAAAAATTTAATAATTATGTAAATCAATTACGTATTATATGGAATGGTGGAATATCTGGTGGAATAATAATGGTTTAGTCATACCTCATAGTATGCATATTGGTGTTTCCAAAATACTTAAAATTTATATAAGTCCATTGGTGCACCAAATTTTTGCTTACTTTACTATATAATATGTAGCAAACTTACTTACATAAATTTTAAGAATTTTGGTATAAAGTTTATACAAATATTTTATTAAATTTAAAGGAGGAGACCTTAAGTAATCATTCTTAGCTAGAAAAATTAATTTAAAATACTATGAAAATGATTCAGATTCACGAGGCATTTAAAACAATAAAAATATGAATCAATTCTAAGACAAAATTCTAAACCCTTTCCAAGACAAAATTCTAAACTCTTTCCAAGACAAAATTCTAAACCCTTTCCAAGACAAAATTCTAAACCCTTTCCAATACAAAATTCTAAACCTTTTTCAAGACAAAATTCTAAACATTATCCAGAACTTTCATGATTGTTTTATTTTAAATTCACTAATTTGTTCGAGCCATTGTCTAGGCTCATTTAACATTTCTTATATGATTTTACTCTGCTTTTGAAAATAATAAAATATATGAGGTCTCAAAAATAAATCTTTAAAACTGTCGCTAAATATTTTAATGTAGGATGATAATGATCAGAATTTTAGTTTTATGTATGATTTTTTTCTTTTATGTATGATTGGTGTTGCTTTAGCAATTAATAAAATATTTGATGCCCTACCAGTCAATTTTGAAAACCATTGCCAAATATTTTAATAAAATATGATAATCATAGGGATATCATATTTGAGTATGATTTCACTCTGCTTTTTGGAATAATAAACTAATTGTATTTTTCAATACCAATCAATTCTGAAAAGCATAGCTAAATATTTGAATAAAGGAGGATGATGATAATTCACTACACCGAGTAAATATTCTGTTTGCTTCTAAGTATCTTCATATTATTTTTTTCAGGTTTTTAATCAAGATTTGCAAGATAGGTCACAAATTGACTTCAGAGGAGCAGCATGCCATTTTTTGCGCTCCTCATATCCTGCGCTTTGTGCAAACACCACCGCAACAAAAACAACCTAAGAAAAACACACTATTTGTAGATGAGACGAAAGAGACTTGTTTTTAGAATAACTTGCCACCAAGCATCATTTTAATTATTATTTATAGTATTAATACTATGTATTTTATATAATAAATACTTTTTTATACTCCAAAGAATGTATTATTTGATGACGGTGATTTTTAAGATTACTTCCAATCGGAAGTTATTCTTATGCAAGTCACGAGTAATGGAGTTGCTGCAGGAAATTCATTCCTAGACCAGTTCGTTAACCATCCGGTGACTAAACCTCGTCGAATAAATTATTTAGAATGCATTTTGTAATAGATACATGATTGAACAAAATGGATGGATTCATAATATACAATGAATATTTCTGTACCAAGCAACAGCATTTTTATTTGAAAATATTGAACCAAAATATGTATTCAAGTGAAAATAGCTCTTTCCTGCTGCATCAAATGAGATAAACAAATCTTTTTTTTAAATAAATTCTTAAAAGTTCAAATATATCAAATTTAGATGTGCTAGCGTAGGGCATATCAAAAGATTCAAAAAAAAAATTGATCCTTAAGGGTTGTTGTGGTATCAGTAAATCTTATTTTTATTTTTATTTAAACAGAATTTTCAAGACCATCTGTTCCGGTTATTTTCCAATCTGTATTAATCCTAAAAATCATTCGTTAACTGTTACATTATTTAACCTACGATGAGAAGCATTTTTTATTACTAAATATGATAATAATTTGCAAATGATGAGTTGTATTATATTGCTACACTGTACTTAAATCTTTGAAAATAATCATCGGTGTATGATTATTTGTAAGACTAACGGCTTTACTTTCCGCCTTTTGCTGCTAGTTATAGATTTACTGAAAATGTATACACGCAATGATAAATCACTTTGAATTGCATCTTTGAAATTATAGTACAAAAGATATAAAAGATATGAAAGATAGTAAAAAATATATTATATATATATATATAATATATATATTATATATATATATATATATATATATATATATATTCATTTATATATCTATGATATAAAAATGAATCGCAAAATGTGTTGGTAACTCAACAAGGCTTGGACCAATTTGGCCAAATGTTTTTTTAAAATGTTCGTTGAAGTTCAAGGATGGTTCTTACTGCGAGAAAAAATCGAATAATTTCCGGAAAAACCGATAAACAGCCCTTTTTATTTTTCACATACAAACGTTAATATTTTCATATTTTTGCCATCGGATACGGAATATTTACTCTAGTCAATGTAGCGTTTTGGGTCTGATTTTTTTACTGTGCTCCAATTCATATAAAATTTTGAAATTAGGTTTATATTACTCTCAAGTTCAAAAGTTAAAATAATTTAGCTCCTTTGCCATTTCCCGGGGGGATGACATCCCTCTCAGTGGAGTAATTTAATTTCATTTTTTCAAATCAACGACGGATATCGATAAAAAAAACTAATTATAAGAAATAAATGTTTTATAATGTTTATCAAAAAAGCAAATACTCATCATTTTATTTAAAGCACTTAAGATCCATATGGGTATAGTGTAAAAAAACATAATAATTTTTAACTAATTGGTAAATATCAGTATAGGTTAATAAAAAAATAATTAAACTTCTGAATTGTAAACATGAGTACAGAACAACGTCTGTCGGGTCATCTAGTATATATATAATTTTTTATATATATTCAGAGAACATAATTTTAATTTGATATTTTGATTTGATTGTTTGAATTATCAATATGTTAATTTTATCTTTTAGGGAAATATTAGAAACTGACACCTATATAGCACCAATTACAATCATTACAATTCATCTTGTAAATTGAATCAACAGTCTTATGTTATTGTTTGGGATTCCAAAATATAAATAGATAACTACATGTATTTTTAAACATTAAGGCTTTAGAGACCAAGTGTATGTATATATGCATTACAATTGTTTCATGAATTCTTATCGATAAGGTTTGTTTAGAAAATATTGCATACCACCTCACCTGATAACTAATAGCGTGAGAGAGTTGGCAAATAAACAAATTACATATATACATACATGTGAATATGTATTATTATGATTAATTTCTCTCCGATAGTTTCTGAATATTCCTCTGAAGAATTTCTGACCATCTCGCACGCAAGGTAAAGTTCTCGCTTGACCCGCCTCTTCCAACCCCCTCAGGTTACACGTATGACTCAGGAATGTACCTTTAGCAAATAACATTCATCGGGTTCTAGAATCCATATAAAATATTGTCTGGTATTTGAACTTCACTTTAATACACGTAAAATCGTTAAATTATTAATTCGCTATCCGTATGCATGGTGAATCAATTATAAACGAAGATTTCGATTATGCAATCGTAAAACCCATGAATGAGTGATTAAAAAAAAGTTGATATGGTGGAATGGAATAATAAGTAATAAGTCTTACTTGATATCCAACACATCAATCATATTTTATACTTTATTTCAAACTATGTTATGATTATAATAACTAGTAATTCTACAAAAAAATTATAAATTCATCATCAATCATCATAAAATGTGATGATAGTGCAATGGTTACTTGTACTAAATCTTTTAATCACTTTATCAATTCAGCACATCAATCATATTTCATAATTTGATTAAACTAACTTTAGACTTCTATCACTAACTAGTTACTCTACATATTTTCTACAAAAATATTAACATCTATAACAAACTTTATTTTTTTTATTCAAATACATGCTACGTGTCCAGGAGGGAAAAATTTACAAGCAGCATGTTTAAAATCCATAAGAGCCATGTTCTGGAAGCTCCTGAAATATAACTGAAAAATAAAAATAAATTAATAAAAAATTAAATATCGAGCAAATTTAAATATTATAAAAATATAGAGAAACAAAATGAAGTTATGGCATTACTGACTTGTGGTTTATGTAAACTGTTATGTTTATATATTATAAAAATACGGTTACAAAAGAATCTAATCTTTGTTTTCAATTTCAACATTTGAGAACTTACCAAATACTTTTTTTATAATTAAATCAGATTTATTATTATTTGAACAGCGATCAGAACTTAAGACTTTTGATAAAAGCTTTTTTGATGATTTGGCTAACTACGTCGGTTTTATAGATGGCAACCCAAACAGTTATCCTATCTCTATATGATGAATTTTATCATAACAATTTTTGTAATTGTTGTAAATTTTTTATTGATGCAGCAATCCCGGGTAAGGTCAATTTTCACTTGAAAACGTATTTCTATCTATATTTCTAAGTGAAACCTGATGTTACTGCTGCTTAGCATCAGGCTGCACGAGACGGATATCGATTATGATAGACCTCTGATTGAAATCCCATAGCTCTAAAACGTGGCCTATTTCTATTTGATATATTATTAATATTAGATAAATTCTCTGATGTTATCTATTTTGTACCTTTAAATTAATATTAACTTTTTTTATTAATATAAATTAAATGGCAATCAAAACAGTTACATTGTATTAGCCATTGGGCTGTAATTTTGATCACCATTTAGAAGGATCAAATAAGGCGTGATAGAAGATACTTCTACTCTCTTAAATGAGATCTCTAGGTTGCAAATATTAAAACATTACAAATGGTTTATAATTATTGTCTTACATCATTGAACAAAATTGTAGGTATAAACTCAGGATTAAACCGGTGCGTGATATTTTCAGCCAGCAATTGCAAAGAGTTACCAATATCAGAATTTTCACATTGTCTAACTTTCCATTCGTTCAGATTCACTTTCTTAAAACACTGTGGATTGAAATATTTCATATCAGACTATCATAAAAATATTCCTTCATATAAATTATTTAATTAAAATTATAATTTTTAATTATTATATCTATTATACTTGCCGCGCTTCCGTCCACCGGCGAAATTCCATTCATCTGGCAAATGATAAATGTGAATTGACGAAACGGTTGGCCTCGAAGTAAATGCAAAACACATGATTGCATCTTATTTCCTGCACATTCGTTTGCTCCATGCTGGCAGATGAACCTTTTTCCATTTTTTATACTCTAATGGACACAAAAACTTGTCAGCAAAAATAAACCATCCACTCATTCATAAAAAATAGCTTAAAGTAATCAAACTACATGATCATATGTTGTAAAGAAATTAAAATTTTCATATAAATTTGATTGATTATGAATTAAATTATTCACTTATTAATGCTCGTATATGTGAAATTTAAATATTATCTGTGAACTTGACTTTTTGTAAAATACAAATAATTATTCCAATTGTTTTTGGGTTAGACCAATAATTCCCATAGTTGCCCACCTCCACATGGTACCCCAGGCGTTCACTACACCCAAAACAAATTGGGGTCAAAAATTAAAAATATTTTTACTTTAAATATTTAATAATAAACTTGAGTACAGTTAGGAAATTATAAATAAATTGGTATCAGATAAATAGAAGGTCCATGACAAAGCCCAAGGGGACCTCGATCCATAATAGTTTGGAAACTTATGGTTCAGACTTTAAAGATTTTTGAACACGTGGACACTACGTGTATAAATATATTAATGTTTAATATGATATATAATATTTTGTAAAATATGACTCAATTAATGCTTTTAAATATGTATTATTACTCACATATGCTTTTCCAAATGGAACATATGTAAAATTCGTATAGGGCGCCAAGCTCGACCAAGCTGGTTGCAACTGTTCCATAAAAAAGTCCACACTGTCTGGACATAGTGACTCGTATAAAATAGTAATATTTAACTGAAATTAATTAAATAAATAATATTAATGATATTAATGGATACTGAATAAAAATATATATTTGATTATTCTTGTTTCCTGAAAAGCCAATCAATAAAATCAATAAAAGACAAAGATTTTTGATTCATGTAGTCTGATTTGGAACTAGTATAGTATTAGTAATAGGTCTGTTGTTTTTTTTATATTTATAAATAATTTTAAATAATTTTATTTACTGAAGAATAGTGAAATTGTGACCCAAAACATTTGGAAAAACCAACACAAAATTTTATATGTCCATTATCTTACCAATCCTGGAGATTTTCTGATCCCTGTGCTATCACAATTCCAAGTAGCAAAAATTACAATAATAATAAATTTGCAAAACAAGCCGAAAGATTTTATATAAAACATCTTAATTACTGAATAATTCTAACAATTCTTTCGACCAACCCAAATGAAATTATTGAAATAACTGAATTTAAATAATATCATTATGCATTGTTCAGTCGTGAAACTAATAATAATAATGTTTATGCTATAATCAATATCATAAAATTAGGAATTGTTTCGTCGAATTTATTTTATAATGGTTATATAAACATATGTTACATTTGTGAAAACAATTTTAATTGTGATAAAATATTTTCCATGTAGTGAGGAGTGTTGATTCGAGTTTCAATTATAATAATTGATATAAGGGAAATTATAAATACACTCATAATTGCCTTATTAAATAAAAATAAATAAAAGTTATATTTATATATATATATATATATATATATATATAAATATATGTCACCAGATAGAATTCTAAATATACTATTGATCAACACAAATAGTACACGATCTTATTTTTAATTTCCTGATGAACTCAAAAAACTTGAAATTTGGCAAATTGACAAATAAAATACTTTCAAGGTTTAACATAAATGAAATTAATTTACCAGTCTTCTTAAACAGTTTTATCAAAAGTTTAACTCTTAAATTCAAACTCGTTTTATAGAAGCTTCCTGTGTTGAATATTAGCGCAATAATCTGGCAAAGTAAATTTTGAAATTAATATAAAAAAAATTAATGTTTACTGATTTGAGAGTATTATCTATGATAAAGGAATTTATTGGAAACTTTATTTCTAATGAGTGCGTATTTAGTCACCATTTTCCAATGAGAATCTGATAAGAAAATGATGTCATTGCAGACTAGATGGCAAAAACCTATATCTAAACTATATTGCTATATTGAAAATGCATTATCTATTTCAAAATGTTAGTTTACAAAACTTTATGAATTCCAGGAGAGAATTTTCAAGATCAAGGAATAACTTTTTCAAGTGTTAAAGTCATCTTGAGCACATATGTGAGCAAAAGTAAAATTTTAAGAAGAAATGAGTACTATGATGTCGAAGAAGTCTTGATAAGTTATTTCATTTGAAGCCTTATTTCTAATGAGTGGGCATTTAGTCACCATTTTCCAATGAGAATCTGATAAGAAAATGATGTCATTACATACTAGATGGTAAAAACCTATATTTGAACTATATTTTGATATTTAAAATGCATTATTTATTTCAAAATATTAATTTACAAAATTTTGTAAATTCAAGGGTCAAGCTATGAAATAACTTATGGCAATGTTATTCCATGCCTTATTCATATTTTGTTACTTATTGCAACATGAAAGTAAAATTTTATTAAGAAATGAGTACTATGAATAGAATTCAAAATTATTTCACAAAAAAACATTGTAAAAAAAGTCTTAATGGTTTATTTCCCTTTCCTGCAGTTTTTGCAAAATTGCAATTTTTTTGTGAAGTAATCCATGTCATCTACATGTTCCACTACCAAACGAAATTGGTACTGCTCTTGCGCTTACGCTACATATACCCATCTCTTTCAGTCCTTCTCTTTTGATCTCGGTTATTTTAAACCTCTTTGGAACGTGTGTCCATGATAATTATTGCAATGGCGGCGAGAAAATTGTTCTGCGGTAGTTTTTCTTTTACAATTATCATGTATTGTTTTTAATTGACGTGTTGTTAAATTCAAAACGTGTTTTATTATTCAATATGGGTCAACGTTCATTTTAGCATTTTATAATAAACCACAGAATTTGTAAGGTGAGGATAGAAAGATAGAAAGTGATCGTGTATAGAGCTTAATCTGATCCTTTTACTTTTACGCCCTTAGAATTAATGGTACCCATGTGTTGTGTGAAAGCTATGGAAATGTTTTATTGTTGTTTGACACGTGATGGTTATTTTTGTTGAATTTTTGCAGAGTTTAACACGAATTTCAAGATGTCTAGTGACGAGGATAAGCCTCCGGCACCACCGGTTCGGCTGACTAGTAACCGAGGGGGCGAAAGAGGTGATTCAATAACTACAGTTGATATGAGACCATTGCCAAAAGGTTTGTTTCGATGTAGCCCCAACGAAAGACTATTTTGGATGTTTTGTCACCCATCTGTCATTCATGAATGAAGTGATTGCTCAAATTGTTATATTTGTTTACTGATGATTTTATGCTTTATAACAGATCTCTTCAAACCTTGCATGAGTTTACATTTAATCTTTAAGTGGGTTTTAAACAAAGTTATAAGATTAGAATTATGTATTTGGACCTGTCATGACTCCGAGTATGTTCCTACAAATATCCTAACAAACACTTTATTTTATTAATTTTTTTTACTAGTGGTAAAATAATACTTAGTTTCTGTACTTAGAATAAAATTATGTTTTTCTTATGAGCATGTACTAGAATTAGTGAAATTTTAAGTTTTTCTAAATAAAAACACATAAAAAAAAGTACTTAACGGCTCTGTGTTTGAAATGGCACGGATTTTGATAATGTTTAGTTCATCTAACACTCATTGCTGCTTTTTATTAATACGTTTTTCCAATAATTGAAATACTTTAAACATTCAAGTAAATGGTAAGAATATATAAATTTTATGTAATCATTATAACTAATAACACTTCTTAAATTTTTGCCTATTACTGATAATTCTTTTTACTTGTTAAGAAATAATTTTAACCTTTTTCCCATGATTCATAGTAATATTTCCATTATTTTCAGAACCTGAAGATGCTACCGAGAAAAAGAAGAAAACGCTCAAAGCAAAAATAAAAAGTGTAAAAGCTCATGCAGATAATAATAAACCGAACATCTCATATCCTACCAATTTTGAGCATACAATCCATGTTGGTTTTGATCCAGTAACTGGGGAATTTACGGTAAAATTTATTCAAACATTTTTAGCTGATGAATGTCGTATTTCATAATATTATAATGCTTTTGTTGGGCATTGGCTGTGCACTATTGGCAATTATTTACTATAAAATATTGCTGCTTTTCAAAATCGAATTTGTCAAATTAAATTGCTCATAGAAATTATCACCATATTGTATTTTTACACTCGCTTTTAACTATAATAATATATTTATATATATGCATTTACACTTACTTTAAATTATTTCTCTTAAATATTGAAACACTTTTGCTAAACATACATCATTAACTAAAATATTACTCAAATGAGTTTCACTACTTATTACTTTTTGTAAGTATCCCACTCATTAAGACTCTTTATATACTAATTTCTAGAAGTACAAATATTCAATATATTTGCATTCCTCATGACTAACATTATAACAAACAATAATGTGATCGAACAAAAAATGAAAGGAAATAATTTTACTTCTACATGTATTCACATATATATTTATATGAAATATTGAAATGTATATATTTAAATTGTTAACGTTTGATATATGTGAACATACATGCAAAAAGTATATGTTTATTTATTTACATATATAAATACATACATTCTTTGTTACAAATTATTTTTATATCAAATATTACGTATAATTCACATACCAAAGAAATAACCACACAGTGATATGCCTGACTTAACATAATGTAGTTTGAATAATATGAAAAATTATCACCAATAATCTAATATATCAAATGCTGCTAAATTCTATTTTTGTTAGCTAATTGTTAATGTTAGTATTTAATCGCTGAAATTGGCTTTTGTTACTGCGTTCATAATGATTTTAATGTATTTTGTTTCAAGCTGCCTTTAAAAGTAAGTACGCTTGATTGTTAAGTGTTTGCTATGAAATAATTACTAACCTTTGCTGACAGCATGATTTTATGTTGTAATATTACATTGAAGATATATATTCCATTAATTTCTACGTGTTGGATAGACTAATTAGGATATATTATTTTTCTAAATATATCATAAAAAGAATATCCATAAGAATCATTTGCTGTATTGTGTTAATTTGTTATTCATTTATTAACTTACTATCCCAATACATTAATTTTATGGAATTGTTTCTTTTTTATCCAATGTCTAATTTTTGTGTATGAATTTTTTTTTCTTCTATCAAGTCTGAGAATTGCTTTTTACAGGGCATGCCGGAGGACTGGGCTAAATTACTTGTATCTAGTACTATAACAAAACAAGAACAAAAGAAAAATCCTCAAGCTGTTTTAGATGTTTTAAAATGGTACGACAATTCACAGCAGAGTCCCACATCCAAATATATGACACATGGCCATACAACCACACATTCTGGTAATAAAATAATAAAATCATTGGTTTTTATTTTATTATTATGGCCATTTGTTGATTTGAAAAATAATTCTTTTTTAGGTTCCTCCCTGAGTCGTGTAAGCTCTAGTTCCCCTAGCAGTACAACACCAACAGATAGTGAAGGTGGTAGTGGTAATTTACTACCATGTAGTCTACCGGTTCAAAGTAGTGTTAATTCTGGACCAGATTCCTATAGGATATCAGAAAATCGTGATTTAGACGAACCTCCAGCTCCACCCGTTGCTAGCCGTCCTGAAAGAACTAAATCTATTGTAAGTAAATGAAACTAAAAATAATATTTATACCATTTGTTTTTTGACTATACTGCATATAATGCTTTTTAGTATACCAAGCCTGTTGAAGAAACCATAACACCCTTCTACCGCTGAAAGCAACATTGGACAATAATAAAAATGCTGCAGTTTCACCTGTTCATAATACGGCAAACAGTAATAATACTCTTACAACCACCGCCCAACAAACTCCCACAAATAAAACACGCGTGCCTCAACAAACACGACCTAAAAAAATGTCAGATGAAGAAATTCTAGAAAGGCTTAGGACTATAGTTAGTGTTGGTGATCCGAATAGAAAATATACAAGAATGGAGAAAATTGGACAAGGGTAAGGTATATATAAAGCAAAATTTGTTTCAGTGACTAATATTATTTTAATATTTAGTGCTTCTGGAACTGTGTATACTGCAATAGAAACCAGTACTGGAATGGAAGTGGCTATAAAACAAATGCATTTAGCCCAACAACCTAAGAAAGAATTAATTATAAATGAAATTCTGGTCATGCGAGAAAATAAACATCCTAATGTTGTGAATTATTTGGATAGTTACCTAGTTTCAGAGGTTTGTATAATATTCTACCAACAATTTCTCTTGTATTAGCAAATTATCACATATATTTGTTTTAGGAATTGTGGGTTGTTATGGAGTATCTTCCAGGAGGGTCTTTGACTGATGTTGTGACTGAAACTTGCATGGACGAAGGACAAATTGCTGCTGTATGTCGAGAGGTTCTCCAAGCATTAGATTTCTTACACTCTAACCAAGTAATACATAGGGATATAAAAAGTGATAACATACTGCTAGGACTGGATGGAAGTGTTAAATTAAGTAAGCTGTTATTTTATTTATAGTAAAATCTAATTCTGGCAAACACAAGCAGACATATGAATTAAGAAATATATTTTATAATGAATTTGTCTGTTTCAGCTGATTTTGGCTTTTGTGCACAAATTTCTCCTGAACAAAATAAAAGGACAACAATGGTTGGAACTCCTTATTGGATGGCACCAGAAGTTGTTACTAGGAAATTATATGGGCCTAAGGTACAAATTATAAAAGCAATATATTAATGATCAGTATTATTTATTATTTAATAATTTTTAGGTTGATTTATGGTCACTAGGAATCATGGCAATTGAAATGATTGAAGGTGAACCTCCATACTTAAATGAAAACCCTTTAAAAGCATTATACCTTATAGCAACTAATGGTAAACCAGAAATTAAGGAAAAGGAAAAACTTAGTCTTGTGTTTAGGGATTTCCTTGATCAATGTTTAGAAGTGGAAGTTGAAAGGAGAGCCACAGCACTTGAATTATTAAAGGTAAGGTTCTTCTTCACAGAAGTAAATGAAAATACAATATTATTCCATGTTTCTTTTACAGCACCCATTTTTGAAGTTGGCTCGGCCGCTAGCAAGTTTAACACCACTTATAATGGCAGCTAAGGAAGCAGCAAAAGGCCATTAGCATTTCTTTTAGATTAGTTCAGTGTTTAAGTTTTAATATCAACTGATTTGGAATCCAACCATTTACATAAACAGTGAGATATAGTGATGAAATATTTTTAAGGACCAATGATTAATAAGTTTCTAAAATGAGAGAAATGTTCTAGTGTTCATGCATATGTGATATATATGTGTGTATTGATGTTTTTATAAATTTGGAAAGGAACAGGTAAGATCTATTTGTTATTCTAAATTGGAAAGATGTCTTGTTACCAATTCTCCACAATTTTTATTATAGTATGTTTTTAACTATGATAGTCAGACAGTAGTAAAGTATATGAATCGAGAAAGAGAATTATATTTTATATAATTTATTTATTATCACCCTAACTTTATTAATGATTTTTTGACAATTATTTGCAAAAGCTTCTGCATATTGTCGACTGTTACTAAAAAAATAGTTCCAATTAATCTACAATTGAATAATATTCTTTTACTTATATTGATATATCAATAGATGAAAGATTCACTATTATTGATCACAGCAATATTTTAAAATTTCAAGCCAATGTATATCATACTCTTGCTAACACATTTTATAATATTTAGCATACTATTAAATCACTTGACAATGTGCAGATTGAAGGTATTCTATCAGATAATTAAAATCTTTGAACAAGATTATATTGACTGTGATAGATTTACCTTTATGTAAATGTACTGAAGAAAAATCAGAAATGTACATATAAACCTAAGAACTTTAAGCTCGAACAAAAATGTGTATATACAACAGAAAAAAGTATTAAAACTTAGTTATTAAACTTATCCAGTTTCAACTGCAAATCAATTTACAAAGAATTTCATTTCTGTAAGAATGTGGGATTTGAACAGGGTCGCAAAAAAGTAAAGGCTCAAAGTATTATTGAATAATTTTAAACAAGTTGCTTTTATTATATTAGTTTTCGATTGTATTAACAATAATGTAAATACGCTTACTGGTTTTAATTTGATTAAGAAGAATGTCACAATTAATATTGAGTATAAGTCAGAAAAAAGACTGGCATAGATTTATATTTCAATTAAACATCAGTAAATATGTTTAGCATTGATTTAATATATAATAGTACACAAAATATGGACAAATACTATGAAACTATATTATTACAAGAAATAAGTTTTTTTTTAATCTGTCCATGTTTATTTATATGCATTCTGACCCCGCATTGTATATTTTTTGGTATGAAATGGTCATATGAGAAATGTATTTTTAAAACTAATTGACTGCTGCGGCTATTGTCAGAATGTGCCTAACCAAAAATAATAAATAATAAAAATATATATTAAAACTTCAAAAATTGAAAACATAATACATAATTATTGATTTTTTTTAACACTTAAATAATAAAGTATTCTGTTAATTGTATGATGTACCATACATAATTTTATTTCTTCATAGATATTTTAATGAGAACTTTTAGAATTCAAAAATTCTGAAAAAATTATAGAAATTTCAATTTTTTCACATAATACCATATAATTATTTTGCATGATATGTTAATAATGAATAGTAATTATTGTAAAATCTAATGTAAAATATTTAAGAAGTTTTGTTTAATATATCGGTTTTATAGTATTTTCTGATAGTATATGGTTTCATAAAAATTAATAAAATATTGTATATTGAAAATTATATTAATATTATTTTCTATTGCTTTTGAGTTAATAATAAATTATTGAAAATATAAATTTCTTTAATTGCAAGTAGTAACTAAATCAAATTAATGAAAGAAATATTTTTTATCATAACAACATGCATTGCGTTAATACATAAAAATTAAATATATGTTTTAATTATTTAACATAATTTATTATGTTTTCTAGGAGTATATTAAGTACATATTGAATAATTTAAATTCATAACAAGTATTAGCTTATCAGATTGGAATTAACACAACTTTTATCTTATAAAAATATATTTAGCACACATTATTATATTATATTGGTTATATAAATTATTAGTTACAAAAATGTCATGTTTATCATGGAAGTTCAATTTAACATTTTTCAATCTAGCTATAAACCTAATCCATAGAAGATGTTAATGAATGAATCAGCATTGAAAAAAAAAATTGCAAGCATTTCCTTAGAAGAGTCCGAATAATAAGTAAGCACAGTCTATTAATATTTTTGTATTGCATAATGTTTCAAAATTATGAATCTTCCATTGGGTTAGGTGTATATTCTTATATATCAATTTATAGTTCATAATTTCAGCTCTTCTGTTCCTTTTCCACAAAGTCCATGGCTGCTGAGTTAATGCAATATCTTTTCCTGGTAGGAGCTGGACCATCTTCAAATACTGACCCAAATGCGCCGAACAATTTGCACAGCGGACTTCGGTGCGTACCATATCTGGCCGTGATATCAGCAATAAGAGGTTGCTACCAACTTTATTCGGTAAGAAGGATAATGGGATATTGGACAGAAAAGGATTTCATCATTCATGAAATATTTACACAGATTATTAGGACATTCACACAGATATAACAAATAATAGATAGATTTTGTTAATAAAAAAAAAAAAA